GCAATTCCTGATCAAAAAGCTATTACAATAACACCTATCTTTGTTTCTGAGTGGATTTGTAATCATACCCCACCGAAGTCTTTGCATTCCGACTTAGGTTCGAATTTTGAAAGTTTTATTTTTAAAGATATGTGTAAAGAATATGGTATTAAGAAAACCCAAACGACTTCTTTTCATCCGATGGGTAATGGATGTACAGAAAGATGTCAAAGGACTTTGTTACAAATTTTATCCCATTTAACTGTTTCTAAAAAATTATCCTGGGATCTTGTTTTACCATTGGCGTGTTATGCTTATAATACTGCCATACATGATTCGACCGATATTCCACCTATCACATTGGCTTATGGAATTGTACCAAATGATACTCCCTTTGACTTGAGAAATTCAACAAAAACGATAAGCGACATTTCCCACGGAAGTAATTCTCGTGAAATTGATAGCACATTAGATGTTATGTCTAGGAAAGATTCCGTTGCTTTATTGGCGCGAAAGCGTCTTGAGAAATCTCGTAAATTAATGGAAAAACAGTATAATAAGACTGCTATTTCTAATACTTTTCAAGTTAATGATTTAGTAATGCTTTATACACCTTCTGTACCTATTGGTGAAACTACTAAAATTGCTTATTTATGGAATGGTCCTTACAAAATTATTACAGTTTTGGAAAATCAGAATTTTCTGATTGAACCAGTTGATGAAAACATTAGGAAATCCCATCCTAGTATACGAGTCCATTTCAATAGGCTCAAACCCTTTATTACAAGACGTGAATCCTTGGTTTGTCGTGGTGCTCCCGATATCCCTACTTCACCATTAAAACATTCAAAACCCCTTGTTTCGAAAACTCGTGTTTCGAAATTACCTACTCATTTTGATGATTTTGAATTGTATTGATTTTGTTTTATTATTAATTCAGTATTTTCATATTATTGTGTGTGAATTTAATTTTAATTGTATTCTCATGCTTTAAAATTTTATTATTGTAGTGCTTATTATATATTTCAATGTAATTATTTTTAGTGTGTGATTTTTCCTATTATCGCATTATATTGCTTAATTGTATTTCAATATTTTTAATTATTGTATTTTCCCAAGCCTAAGTAAAACGCCTTCATCCTGATCAGATGATGAATATTTTTTCTTTCGTATTTTTTCATTGAAATTACTTGTATCCATATTTGGTGTGAAAGAAATTCCCTACGTAAATTTCTTTCTTCATAAAGAAGGGAGGTGTAACGTAATACGTATGTCTTACGTTGGTTACTAATGCGTATACGTTAGTTCTCTCGTTCTGTTGTATGACGCTTTGACGTTGTGCGTTTGTACAGTATCGTCTCGTATTTTCATTTCGTTACTTTATTCATTATATTCATTCCGTATATATTGCTTCACTTGCACTGCACATGTATCTTATCTTACATTCTTATGAACACTTGTAATACACTAGTGCACCGTTGTAGCGGTGTTGATATTTCTGACTGATTTATATGTATATTGGGACAACAGAATAGCCGAGTATTTCGCCTGTATTCCAAAGACAGTTCAATAGTCGTTAGCGAGGAAGACGGTCTTTTTCTACACTGTCAATCGCCGTCGCCTTTAACCCTCGCTACGTTACATATATATGTCAATCCAGCCGGTCAAATGGTATGGATAGATTCGGAAAAACCGAAGTCAGGCCAGATTTAGACGATAAGGGGCTTTGGGCTAAAACGTATCACGACGACGAATAGTCGATGCCAAATTTTGTCTATTTTGGTTCAGACAATCTGCAAGAGAGAGTACGATGGTAAGAGTCATATTATCATTATTCACTTACAAAATCGAAAGCGATGTGCCTATCGACCAAGATCTTTTGATGTAGATGTCTCCGAGACGCGGACCCGCGGCACACGACTAACGGACGATCATTTGCATGATGTCTTAAGACTAGAAAACCAATGCAAAATAAGGCCAAACATTTAGGGTCTCATTCATGTTTAGTTTTGTGTGAGATTCAAGTGTAATTTCAACAAATGCAAATTTTCTTTGCTAATAATATTTTTTTATTGTTAGTTGAGAGATCGGGACCTTGCTTTGAGCAGACTTGAAACTCTACTGTACGTATTATTCCCACATTCAGTTAACGGCCCGCTAAAAATATTATCTTTATTGATAGTTAAGAGATCGGGGCCTTGCTTTGAACAGATTTGAAATTCTACTATAAGTGCTATTTCCACTTAAGAGTTTTGGGCTTTTGACTATACAGTCATGTAAAATCTACCAAACTAAATATGATAGTTTTGTATTTTTATTTTAGCCCGCTTCTATACATTATTTGCAGGGTAATTCATCATACTACGGTGCATGATGTGATAGCCAGATTTTTTTTTTTTTTGTACCAATGTTTCAAGATTACCAAACAGGAAATTTTTAGTTTTTATAATTCGTGTAAATTTGAAATATTTTGTCCAGTTATATAATGAGCGTTGTATGCATGGGAGAAACAGGTATTAGATTGGGATTATAAGCCTATTAGTCGTTGTCCAGACAAGCTTAGCGGAATTACTGGGAATTTCAGGGTTATTTTACGACTAACTTTTAGTAGCATATGCAAAGTTGCAATCTTCAACAGATTAGCTTACTTTTAAATTACTTTTTTTTTACGGTAGATTTTAATCGCATTTGTAACTTTATATTTTCAATTTATTGCGATTTTCTAAAAATAGAATATTGCTAGAAACTAAAATTAATTTTGCGGTGTCATTGTTTATCAAATAATGAACGTCACGCTCAACCGCAAATCCGATTAAAATCTGAACTGCGTCACGACATACCTGCGCGTATGCTTCTATATATATCCGATTGCGGTAAATTTTTGAGCATAAGATGAACTTCCTCAGTTAAATTTAATGTCGATTGTATGCTCATATTTTGAAAGTGAGAAGTAATTGATAATTCTAGCCAATAAAAGAGTCCAGTTGCACACTAACACAAATGAAACTAACACAGATATACATTTGTGTTAGTGTACAGCTGGACTCATTAAGCATAGTCATGTTTAGTCCAGCTACAGCATCCTTGTATTATACGTATGGGGAATCACTAGCATAAAGGCATAGAGGAAAGATAGGGAGTTAGTCTCGGGAAATCCAACTCAAAGTTAGTTTAATTAATAATGCTTGTATTTTAATATTTATAGTGATTTGATAGACGTATATAACTATTGATATTAGGAATTCTCATACCGTAGATTAGGTTTTCTATAAGTTCGTCTATTTTGTGACCATAAATTGTCGTAAATAAAGTTATATGACAATTCCAGTAATGCAACCAAACCGGAATATTTGGTTCATTATATAGCAGGACACATTCAGAAAAAGTTTGATAATTGCAAGAAAATATGTACAGTATTCGATGTGCATTAGCCAACGAGAGTAGAATCTTTACATAATAAATTAACCATTCATGTTTTATATACCCTCCAAAAGGCCATGACGCTTTTAAAAATAAAATGTTGTTCCCCCTTTAGAAGAATTAGGTGTTGGCGAAAAGTAATTTAATTCAATTCTAAAACCCTACGTCCTATAAGGCATAAGGGTAACTGAACCTAGATATAGTCTTTATGGAGCTAAAAAAAAAAGGAACACTGGCGTCGCAGAAAGACATCATGCTACTCGGTGCGGTTAAGCGTAAGGCAAAGCTAAGAATAACGCTCAAAAATATTGGGAAAAGGAAAAAAACTTGAGATTAAGTCAGCAAAAATAGTCAATGTCAAGTATTTGACTTTGTCTATTTTGGTTCAGACAATCCGCAATTGAGAGTCATTTTTTTATTCATCCACAAAATCGGAATCAATGTGCCTATCGACCAAGAGCTTCCAATGCAAGGGTCTCCAACACGTGGCCAGAGGCACACGACTAACGGACGAGCATTTGCATGCTGTTAAGACTAGCAAACCAACACAGCATAAAGTCAAACATCAACTTTCTTACAGTGCCAATCATCCTGCATACGTTGAAGAATAAGTTTCATGTCTAGCTTGGTTAAGATTCAAGTGTAATTTCTACAAATAAATTCAGATTCATTTTGTTCCATTTACTTTTGTACCTAATTTGTTGATTTGTGGCATGCGTCGTCAATAAAGTTAAAACCATGACATATTTTGAGTTGGAGACGCCTGTCCAAATCCAACACTTTAATTATGCTTGTCTTGATTCTGTGGTCAAAACAAATACCTTACAAAAGCCCAATAGTTAAAAAGAGGTTGAAATCTGCGAATTTGCGTCCTAAGCTTGCAATTCATACAAAATTATATATATGTCAAAATTCATTTGAATTTGGTGGGTTTACGCAGGGATTCCCAAACTTTATTGGGCGCGGGCCAAAATCAGAATCGGAAGAAAGTTCGCGGGCCAGAAGAGTGTAGCGACCTTAAGTTTGCGACGGTTTCGCTGGGGTTCTGTCGATTCACTTTCATTTGACATTTTTTTGAAACATGTTTGTTTGACTCATAATGGCGCTTATTGTCTTATTTCCTCATATATGGAATAGTTCGTTGGCAAAGAAGACAAATCGCCGAAGTTTGATTTCTTCGAATGCAGAAATACAAACGCTCACATTTATTCAAGGAACGTCTGTTTTCAGCGTCTAGTTTTGGTTTGCTTTTTGGTATCTCTAAGCTTTCTAACGTGACTGTTACGATAAACACGTTTTTAAACTGTGGTAGTGACATAGCAACTAGCGGTATCTAGATCGCAAACAGGTAGAAACAACACCATTTCACTTAAGCTCGGCGGGCCATTTTAAATCGAATTTGGCCCGCGGGCCGCGGTTCGGGAACCCCTTGTTTAGAGTATTCGAGTAGATAAGAAGTCTTAATCAAATATTCAACATTAGCGGTAACTATAAATGATGTTAATTCATGTAAAAGTTTTTATAAATGGATCAAAAATACACCTTGTGTTTGTTCGCAAACACCGTTATTTGTTGCAGATCATTTACAATTTTCATTTACATCGACATAAGAAAATAGACAAAATTACACTTTTTACTCAGTCGCTACTTAACTAAGCTGAGATGAAAATTGCTGTCGTTATTATCCTAATCTACGCCATCACTACATCATGGTGTCAAGATGAAACAATGTTTCACTGCTCTCCCAAACCTGGTTGTGACATAGCACGATGTGATCCGGTTGCTGTAGGATGGGACAGACCAGGTTTCAACATTGATGAACATCTTCGTGACATGGAATTTCCGATTTCATGCAAATCCAATAGTACTGTTCTCAGCTGGCTTGATTTAGCATCCAGAAATTTGGGTAAGTGGTAATTTATTTGATTTATCAATTAACAAATTATCGTTTCTTGTTTATTGTGGGTGATCACTTAGCAAGTGTTGTGTCTGTTTTGGCCGAGTGAATATACCCATAAGTTTTGTCCTTTCACTCAACTTGATGTAAAGTAGCCAAACAAAATTAGTTACCTCCATATTCGTACACATACTTCTGGCGCGCCCATCATTCTGTGTTTGCGATTGACAATGTCATATATGCGTGATGCAGACTAATTAATCAAGACCAATCTTTAATATTTGCATTCAGATATAACAAATATCAGAATGGGATTGAACAAATTGGAAAACAAGTTTGACGAAAAAATCGGCATATTTGGAAAAAACATTTTTGGTCAGTGTTCAAAATATAGTTGATACTTGTTGGTGACAATAAAATCTTAAACTTTCTAGCTTTTTGTGATTTCTGTTAATTGTATTTTAAACTTTCATTCTATCCTAAAAAACTCCGTACAACGTACAGCCGACTGTTTGCTAAGGTCTATGCACCAAATCTACGTTTATGACAAAAGACTAAAAGCCATATTGAAATCAAACAAACCGAACTGTCGATTAAAACCTTATGAATGTAAATGAGTTTTTGTACGGTTTGATTATATAATTTGATTTTTTAATTAGATATATTTTTTTAGGAAAAATTTGAAACGTCATTGTCAGAAAATTAAACTCTTGTATAAAATGCAACGCTGAATTTGTCAATTCCTAAAATTTGGTAAGAAAATATCTCAATTCGACTCTATTGTCCACGAATGGTTTAATAGATTAACGGGTGTGAAAACTGCGGCCCGCGGGCAAAATGCGGTCCGCAAAGAAAAATTGTGCAGCCCGCGAGGAAATGCCAATTTTCAATGGTGTGTCCGTGAAACGAATTTTTAGTTTAGTTAATCTGGTCGAGCGAGCTATTCCAATCTTTTTGCGTGTCAAAGCCTATACCATTACCTAAGTGGCACTTTCATATTACCAAAAATTATCAAAATCCTGTTGCAAAATAACAATGTTATAAAAACCTGTTTCTCACTGGAGTCAGAAAATTTGAATAGCAGCTTTATTTATAAATTTATGCGTTTTAAGTAAGTTTTATCGTACGCTAATAAACCATTGGCAGATATTTGTATTTATTAGCAGAACAGTTTCGATTTATTTTAAAACTATTCCAACTGGGAATAGTCCTTTTCCAAATCCTGATGTTTGGAAAATCACAGAATTTCATTATTGTATCTATAAACGTCTAAATGGGAATGACGTCCTGTGATCGGTAAAAGGAGAATGAATTGTCTTGTGTAGACAGGACCAAGCCGATGAAAATGAGCTCCTCATTTGAAGAGGCGTTTTGTGCCTTTATTTTATTCGAAACACTCTTCTATTTTCAAACGTTGGCCATGTGACAGCAGTGACGAATAGCAGAGCTGACTTAGTGCCGCGCGATCCATTTTTTGTATCTAGATCCGAGGTCCCAACTTAGGCGGACTTGGTTGTTTTTTGACGGTAGCACTAGGCCTGCTCACGCTACAAGTAATAAATGTTTTCAAATATAACAATTCATCATACAATGTGTGTAGAAAAAAGTGGCCGAAGTAAACTGAGAGGAAACGTATTTCCTTAACCACAAAAACATTAAACCACAGCGTCTGGTGTGTTTCCACGAACATCCGTCACGAAAGAATATAATTTCAAGCGACATTACAAAATCAAACACGAGAAATGATACCAAAAATTCCACGTTTTTTTTTAAATACTTTATATAGTTTCCTTGAAAAACAGATTAGAACGATAAAGTCTCATTTTTAAATATATTTGAGAAGAATAAACTCTCAATGTTTTGATAACCTTTGGGTTTTCTCCAACCGCGCCCGCGAGATCTCCTCAAAAGATTTTGCGGCCCTTCAACCTCGCAACCTTGGACCCCCCCTGATTTAGATTATAACGTTCGTCGTGATTTAGTAAAACTATTTGGGAAAATTCATTTCATTTCCAAACAGAAAATGACAAGTGTTGCAAACAAATTAACCAGCAATCAACTGCAATAAACAATCTATCGAAGAAAGCTATGAAACAATTCACTGAGATCAAACAGTTGAAGAAAGGTTTGTAACAACTTGATTTTAGATTTACTTGTTTGAAGAGTGGTAGGAACTGTACGTAACTTGAAAGGCCTTCTGTTTTTGCTATCAACATTATATTTAAATCATTTTCAAGTTATCGATCAGTAACATTGTTTTCTTATGGCTGAAACATTTTTTGTGATAATATTAAATAAGGAATAAATGAGGCTTATTTTTTAAACTCATAACGTCCATAACATGATATAGAACGAACGATTAATGAGCGGATATTTTTAATTTTAGAATTGGCTCAAGTTGAAGAAATCAATAAAAAAATTTGAATGAAATGAAAAGAGGTGAGATTAAACTGCTGGGCCTTAACGCTTATCTGCTATTTTATTAAAATGTTTTGACCTTTCTTTATGGTCGTGGGTAACAACTAACATGACTCTTTTCTTTGCTTATTGAAAAACAATATATATATAAATTAAACAGTAGTTGAACTATGTATGTCTGAAGAAGTCTGACCTTGGTCAGACGAAACGTTACAGAAATATATTTGTGTTAGTGTGCAGCAAGACTCTTGAATCACTTAGAATATATAAATTAAATTTGGAAAAAATATGATATTCTGTACTGAGCTACTGAATGGGATTCTTCTACTACAGTTCAAGACATGATTAGCAGGTTGACAGAACACAACGAAAAAATGAAAAAAAGATAAAATCTTTCGAATAATATTCTTGTTAACAATATATAAATATATTTGGCTAAAAACATTCCTCGTAGGTCATTGAACTACTCTAGGAAGATATGAAAAAATTAGAAACCAAAAACTGCTTTTTCATAATGACAAATGAATAGATTTTCCAACAATCTGTGTAAATTTAGAAAGGAAAAGTAACAATAATTAAGAAATTGTATTTTTCGAATTGAAATGTATTTCGAAATATTTCATGGTCAATGGAAATTCAAACTTCTCAAATGGTTGTGGATATTTATTGCCTTGTCTAATATTAGTGAGAGCGTTTCAAATAAATTTCCAACTATAATACGGAATAATTAAAAAAATAGAAATTTGTAAAGATTGATTGTTGTTTAGACAATTATGTAGTTTCTAGCATTTATATTAACATTTAGCAATATCCCGTATTGAACAAAAACTTGCTGTAACGGAGAAGCCTCAGATGCTTCTAAATAGATCAAGACAGATCACCAAACCAACAACAAAGACTCAGACAACAATGAAACCGACTCCTGCCCTAGGTAAAATTTAATTTAGAATCATTCAATTTGTAAACTGCGAGTATTTGACAAATGTTTCGCATAAAAGTTGAAATAAATTGATAGATTCCATATGATTATTTACTTGATTATAGTATTTTCTTATGGTAAATTAGGGTCAAAATAAACGTTAGGCATTATATAATAAACCTGACTTGTTGTACGTCCCAATTCTACCACTGCGTGTAAAACCGTATATTTGATTTTAAAATATTGAAGTTCAATTTTTTTCCAAGTTACTTGGTGCTTTTTGTCTAAATCAAAGATTTTTGAAAAAAGTGCTTGACGAATTTATCTATATCACCACGGGTGGTCGTTACTTTTCAGAAAACTGCAAATTTAAGATGGGAATTATATGTTATTTTGCTTTGATACTGGGTCAACCTGATGTCGACTATGAAAATGCAACTGAATTTTGTAAGGAACGTAACGCAGATGTTGCTTTGATACAAAATGAAGCATCTTACAATGTAATTGTGAATTATTTGAGAAAAAATATTCCCAAGGGAAAGTCGGAGATCAGAATATGGACAAAGTTACACTTTGATCCAATGGTTAGTGTCGTATGGTTATGCTATTTATACTTGGATGGGGAATATAGAAATCTGATATCAGGGGTAGAATGTCGGGTCAGGCGCGACAGAGAAAAGCCCAAAGGCTTCTCGAAGTTATATCTAATTTAAATTTTTAGACTTCTGATTCGAAACACAATTTAAGACTAAAGAAAAATATGAATCTCACAATTTCGAAAAAATAAATAGAATCAGGCGCGCTTGCCTAACAATACCAACGTAACAGGGATCGCAAAAAATGTTTTGGCGCAATTCTTGCGGCCCCTAGAAGTTGTTGCGCCAGCGTGGTCGCGACCCCCAGTTTAGGAAGCCTTGCTTTGAGGCACAACCTAATAGGATACTTGCAAAAATTTTCAAAAGTTTTGTCGCGTACCACATCGCAAACAGACAATAGTTTGTATTATGAAATTTGCAACGTAGACAAAATCCCACAAAAGACTATTTTCTCACTCAAATTGATGTCCTAGAAATCAACTGCTTTGAAAACGTTTTTATCGGACCAAATTTAAAATGTTAATCCTCAAAAGAAAAATTGAGATACTAATATTCTTCAGATATCACAAGACTTCAGTGATAAACGCCATTTACCAATAAAGTTCTTCTTTTTTTCAGACTCGTGTCGTCACACCTGCAGATTCCTTTATTAAATGGTTTCAATATTATCCATTGACTGGAAGTGATTATAAATCTTATACAAATGTTCATCTTTATGTCACTCCCAAGTCGAATAGAGGGTATCAAGCGATGTTCAATAATCCTCCTAGCTGGAAGGTTCATGGAGTTCTTTGTGAGATCCAGAACTAATGAAACGTCTGCCTGGTTACAATTTGTTTCTCCGGATCTATCATCAGTAAAATTAGTATTTCTAACAATGGGCAGTATAATATAAATCATTGATTTGTAATTTAAAATCATTACCTAATTTGAATTTATACCAGGGGTGGGCAAAGTGCGGCCCGCAGGCCAAATGCGCCCCGTGAGGGGGAAATTGTGCAGCTCGCGGAAAAGTGCCAATTTTGAATGGTGTGCGACTAGTTTTTAATTTAGTTTGATCTGGTTCCCGTTGCGTTGAAAGCTTATATTCGAGTCCAATTTATCATCTATGCCTATGACGTCACAACGCCATAACAGCGAAGCGAACAACGCGATTCACAAAGCTGTCACTTGCCGAGCAGCGAACAATTGAAAGGAAAATGCGGAGCAGACGCTAATGAATTTGTAAGAACGGGAAATTGTAGATTAGGCAACTGGAAAGCAATTTGAAAAAATTGAATATTAAGAGATACAAAAGCTAAATGAGTTTTGGTTCCAGCCTATCAGTTGATTTTGTTTAAATCTAATCTAGAATAAAATTTGACAGCAATATGTTTGGAAATGAATCTTGTCGTATTATACCGAAAATATCTCAACTAGGATAACTTTCCACATTTGAAAAAAATCATGGCTTCAAATATGGCACTTTTCAGTTACATATTTATTTCTGAAATGGACGTCATATCGAATTGCTAGAACTTCCATTTAAGCAAATTCGGATAAAAGTATTCGGGAAAAGAATCCAGCAGCAAATTTCTCTCTGAATTCGTTTAAATTGGGTGTGACAATATATTTAAATTACAATTTTATGAAACTTATGCGTTTTCTGCAAGGACCCCTGACGATGACGACATGAGATCAATATCAAAAATACACTATTTTGTGCCTGCAACTAATAGAAAGTCTATGATGAAAATGCGGCCCGCGGTTTACCCAGTTATTGATATTTGGCCCGCCTGCGAAAAAAGTTGCACACCCCTGATTTATAAAATTGGTATTTCTTTTTTATTAAAATAGATTTCGCAGCAATCTTGCTGTGTAGTGTCGAAAAATTATATATCGATAATTCTTTAAAGTGCACCTTACACTAGTTAAGCATGGAAAGTGAATTTATAAAGATTCTATAGAAAAATGTAAGCCCCATGGAAAAACTTTACCGCAACTTATTTGTCAAATTATTTCGTCTCTCTGATCTGAGTATTTTGAATATAATAATTTTAATTTGATAAATTCGTGAATGAAAACTTGTCTCATCAACTTTGTATGAATTCAGCTTCTGTATAATATCTTTCATGATGTTTATTATAGTTATCATTTTGGAAAATAAATAAATCAAGGGGCACCACAAGTCTTTTTTATTATTTATTTTTTATAGTAAAGCCCCATCTTTCTTGCACAAATTTTTTATAACACTCACTACACATATTGGAAATTCAACCACAAAATGGTAAACATTTTACTCTACCAATGCATATTATAAACAAGAATGGCGCGTAATTGTCACATTCGTTGTAACAGCGCACATTAAGTTGTTTACGACTTGCTGTGCCGACAATTAATACATTCGCCGTTTTCAGAAGCTTTTATGTAGAAATAAATAGGGCGTGACGTCATCGAAATCTCAAGTGCAGTGTTGAATTCCACAACCATAATTGTGAATTTCTCGGCAAGGATTTTAGTTATAATAATAGTTGGGGTGGTGTTTTGTTGGGAAATTACAGAAGAAAACAATAAGACTGAATATAGATGTGTTTAATTAGCATTCACTAAGCACACATTGATGTGGCAAATATCGCATTAGGTCGCATGCGTATAATATTTTTAGGTAACTCTTGTTCAGCGAAATCTTGCGAAATATAATTTCAGCATACGCTTCCAAAGAGTCGTGTATGAACTTTAGGGCCCAATGGTTAAGGATTTGAAAAAAACATAGAAAGTGACTCAAAAATAGGCTCGGAGATCCCAGCCAGATTGGGTATTAAATGTACCTTTGATAAAAGGCTATGAAGCTTGCTAACTTTTATCAATGCTGAGCGTTCTTGTTAGTCCGTCGTGCAAATAAAATACACAATTTGGCAAATCCTGAAATGAGAACTCCGTTTTTATTTAAATTAACTCTTGTAGATTTTAGTATAATGCGCGAGTCACACTTGCGCTTTTCTACAGTTTAGGTAGTTTATGTATGAATAAATAAGCATTATTGTAGCAATTGTACTGCAGCAAATACCAAATGAAATGCTTCCCCAGGAATGACAAAGTTCTCCCCCTGTTGGGAAACGTTAGTCTAAATCCACAAATATGGTTTTTGATGGAACCGCTGGTCTTGCGGACCATTAATTAAGTATTTTGGCCAGTCCTCAGAGAATTTTTTCTTCCGCCAGCGTATGCACTTGGTTACCGAACAGACGAAGTTATGTTGCTTTTCAAATTTGTTTTCTGCTATTGAATCTGGCGTTTAACAAGTATTATGGTGTTGATTGTCAGACGGTGTCTTGGCCGACAAGCATTTACACTTCCTAAGTTCCGATTCGCCGTGAATCGGCTTGAAAACCTAAAGTGTTCAAAATACACGAAAGAGTTTTTCTAGTCCGCGAGAATAGAAAGGTTGGATTCTCGACTGGACTACATTGAGACAACATATCTAGTTTTAAAGTAGTAGATATTGTTTCATTGATCAATTTTGGGCAATTTCCAGTACCCATCATCAGCTCGTACAAAAGTTATATATAATCTGAGGGAGATTATGTTTAATTTTGAATTACAGGTAATTTTGCTGATAATTGGTAATAGCATATGCAAACTTATATTTTGAAATTCATTGTCATTTCTTTAAAAATGAGCTATTACAAAAAACTAAAATTAATTCGGCGATGTCATTGTTTATCTCATAATGAACATCACGCGTAACCGCTAATCCGATTAAGATCTGAAATTACGTCACGACATAACTGCGCCTATGCTTCTATATATATATTCGATTGCGGTAAATTTTCATGCAGATAAGGGACGAGATTGAAATATATCAGGTAATTTTAAAAGGTATATATGAAGACAACTGGTTGATAGAACAGTCTGTTATGTTTTCAAGTTTGATAGAAAAAATACGTTTACGAAGCTATTAATATTTAGAGCAAAGCGCTAAAATTTCTTGATACCGGTAAATTCTAAAAGTTATTTAATATGCGATGAAAGGTGTTGATGTAGGTAAATCATCAAAGTAGCCTAATATTTGTAAATAACATTTAAAAGCAGAAATATGAGTAGCTAAAGCTATTTGTTCATCTAAGAAGTGAACCAGTCTGATATACAATATAACAGGATAATAAAATTCGAAGCCATCGGAAATAATTTAGTTACAAGCAAAGAATTTCTGTATTTCTGTAACCTTATTTCTTTTTAAATTTTGGTTTTTCGAAAATGAGGGTATTTCCGCAAAATGGAAAAAGCATAGAACTTTAAATACAACATAGTCTGGTGATATTCTTTAGTGTTTATTCTTTAGTCTTTAGTTTTGTTATTTCCGAGATTTTTTTCTTGTATTATATGTAAGAAACCTTGAAGAAATTAATACAAACATATGTTAATATAATTTAATTAATAGCTAACAAACTCGGTGCTTAATAGGCGGACGAAGTATATTCCGAGGATTAGCGCCATTACCGTACTTACTGTGGATGGTCATGAAATAAAACTGAGACAAACGTACAAATAATACAAAAAAGGGAAACTGAAAGATTACTCTGCCAAAAGTCACAGTAATTGGTAGGAGTGTTAGAGTACTCAGGTACATTGGATTCGTTCAGTAAGTTATTCAGCATTAACAGTAACAGTGACAATAGACAGACAATGGTTTTCCCGGAGCGTCGACTTCCTTGTTTACTTGGGGACATTGGCCAATCAGCAAGATGCAAAAAGTGACGTAACAATGTTCCCTTTTCGCATCCGCTCAGACAAATTTTCAAGCGTGGTCGTAAACATTATCTCGTTTTCGCGTTTTTGAACTCTATTCGTTAGTTTTCAGTTGTGTTTCCCGAAACTTAAATATAGATCAGATATTTCAATGATCACTCGGTCTTTCTGGAAGTTTTACTTTAATTGCAGTAAACAAAAATTAGTGTGGGAATAACTGTGATAGACTAGGCTAAAACTCTTTACCGGTACTTTTAAAAAAACGGATTGTTGTATGCGATGAATCATAATGACGGTTTGAAATACATACCCCATTTTACAGGCTCCAACTCGCAAAAGCTTACTACAGTTACTACTCAACTAAACTAAAACCTTGAGATGAGAATATCAATAATTTTCATCTTATTTTACGTCATCACTTCATCTTGGTGTCAAGATGAAACAGTGTTTCACTGCTCATCCAAGCCTGGTTGCAAGATTGCACAATGTGATCCGGTTGCTGTAGGTTGGGACAGACCAGGTTTCAACATAGATCAACATCTGCATGACAAAGTGTTTCCGATTACGTGCAAATCTAAGAATGCGGCGCAATCTCAGAAATCTGCCAACTTGCTCCATTCAGTATCAATGAATGGCAAGTATCTGCTTCATTTAATAATTCTTAGTATTTGGAAACGACATTTCCCAAGCAGTTTTTCATTACACGCAATCATGATTGCTAAGGCATTGACATCGATTAAGAATGATCTGAAAACGATGACCCTCGGAACATCAGTTTTTTATTTTGATTCTTCCATCATTATTTTTTTGGCGTTTCTGAAGTATGTGTACCAACATGAAGGTAACTAATTTTGTTCGCCTACTTTACACAAAGTTGGTGTAAAGTAGGCTGTAGGGTGTAAATATACTTTACACAAAGTTGTGTAAAAGGACTGAAACCTACCGGCAGGGAGTATATTCACTTGTCTAACACAGACAGTTCCCGAACTCGTAATGGGACTAAAATAAAGAAAACGAAATAAAATTATGCCCTAACCCTAACCTGGTACACATACTACGGGAGTGCCTTTTTTTATCCATTATTCACTTGAAACTTTTAACACCCTGGGGAAGGGGAAATTGGAGCAATCAGTTTTGGATAAGTTCTTCAAATCGACCTTTTTCACAGACTATGGCGCCGTGGAGTTATCTCTGATTTAAACAAGCGATACCATTCATACCTCGTGTGTTGTGTTATATGTTTTATGACGCTCATAACGTTAGTGGTCTTTTGCGCAATTGATCAATTCGAATTAAAGATCCTATTCTAACATATTATACATTATTTACAAATAAATAATTATACAATTAAATCAATTACAATAGTTAACTAATTCGAAACATTTCTGCCTGTAGACGGTACAAATTCAATGACAGTTTTATTAATGTCCATGTTACTGAGCACTATTTCTAAAGTCAGTTTCAATTTAAGTTTTCTGGTTTTGCGAATGACTGGAATTCTCTGATGATTATATTGCTGAAAATGCACAATGCATATAGTCAAATTACCTTTATGTGTTGAGTGATATATCGAAAACATCAAATAGGATGTTGTACTAATTAATTTTTTAAAATACATAGAAACGTGAAAAATATTCTTGTGCAAAGCAAATAGAACAAGAAGAGAACTTTGATAATAAAATGAAAACATTTATTTTGTATATTTAAGTTCCCTTTTTAATAGGGAGCAATGTACTTACAAATCTTCTATATGTACACTTTGTTTAAAGTAGATTACTATTTCTCAATCGGCAAAAGATTTTGTGGTATAATAACCGATTTCTTTATTTCACCAGACCAATCGAAAAAAATCAGCATACTCCAGAAGAATGCAATAGAACACTCGAACGAAATAAAGAAATTGAAGAAAGGTTGGTGATGTATTCGCCTATATATTACGACGTGTGTATAATTGTGTATTTTCCGAAATTCTTTGTAAACAATATGTAGAACATAGAAGGATACATTTTTAGTTTAAATTTTTAGAAAACAGGTCAAAGGTGTAGAAAATATTTAGTCCTTGTAAAATGTAAACAAATCAGAATGAAGAAAATAGGTGTAAATAAAATGGACACTTTTGTTACTCATGGTTTGAGATAAGATTCGTCTGAATGAAATAAGCTTATCTTATTTATCAGATTTTGACCATCTCCGAATAATGAATACCAAGCTAATGGAAGAGCAGAAGAAAGCTGCTCAGCAGTTCACTGAGATCAGAGATTTGAATAAAAGTAGGTTGAATAATATGAAATGATTTTCTCATGATCAAATCCAACAGCCGCCTAACGCAGAAAAAAGCAGCTGAACACCTGCAGTTAATCAACCCGTAATTTACATATATATAATACATATAATCCAAGAAGTCCCTTCACAATTTCAATTTCGTTGGGAAGTCAGTTCCTCAATATATCTTGATCAGGTTCGTTGTTTTAAATCAGTAATTGTTCAAGTATTTTTACTTCATTTAATACATCTGTGAGGGCCATAACAATATATGGTATCGATATATTCCCTTTGCATTTTAAAAAAATTTTAAGACTTCATGGACACCCTATATACATATATATATATGCAAAAATTCAAATGAACAATATTTACTCACTTTCAATGTCAGAAGACGATTATTACATGAGCCGATCAAAGTAAAACCCTGGCACATTATACTTTAGAAAAATAAACAGTACTATAACGTCAATATTTTGGTGAGCGTTTTTTCAATTTATGTCAACCCAATATTGATTTACAAATAAGCCAAACTGAATTCTGAATACGCTACCACACAAAACACATGCGTATCATGTGTCATAGATAGATTTTGTTCAATGCGATAATGAGTTCAGAAGAATCAAGATTCCTGATTGGTCATTTAATGATACGGCTAATTTACACTTAAAACGAAAAGGCACACATACCCAAAAAGCAGCCGACCTCCAGCCCAGCGGCTGGAGAAGAGAGCAAGAGATACATTGTCGCTCGAACGTGCAATAAGTGATCGGAGTCTAATAATAATGCATATTCGGATGGTACCACAATACTCAGATCCGACTGAACAGAATTGAATAAAGCGTAAGCATATAAACATGAAAAATATATACAAAACATAAACACAGCATTATGGTACGTGGCACGTGGTTTATTCTACGACGTTTCAGTAGTTTCAAACATTTTATATTAAAAGCATACTGGAGCTCTCTACATGCAAATTGATTCTGCTTGAATTCTTATTTGCCGAATATTTTATTTATTTTAATATTATCAAAATCGTTAGCGCCCTCTCTTCGGAATTTATTACAACAAAAAACATCGATAGTCACGCTGATACTATGAAATCTTTTACACAATTTTTTGTTTTCAGATTTGGCTGAAATACAAGAAATAAATAAAACATTTGTAGAAGAATTGAATGAACAAAAGAAAACAAATAATGAACTAAAGAAAGGTATGAAATAGGTATTTGTAAAATTACAAACTGAAAAAAAAAAACTCAAAAGCAGTTCTCTTTGGATAAACCAAATGATAATTTTTTTTTATTAGATTTGGTTAAAGTGCAAGCAATGAATGACAAGTTGGTAGAAGAACTGGAAGAACAAAAGAAAACAAACGATGGGATTAATAAAGGTAAAAATCTAAACATGCCAAGTAGTCGTCTACGCCAGTGAGACATTTACAGATATTCGCGACCCCGCAACAACAACAAAAATACAGTAGAAACTCTACCTACGAAATTAATTCGTTTCTGAAGCCCCTTTGTAGGTATAAAAATCTCTAGACTCTACGCATTTTTTTTTTTTGTATTTTTTACATTGTATACCCATTCTTATATCTTGTCTTATAAGACAAGTCAAAAACGACGTAACAAACGTATTGTTTATCTTCTATTTTGTGATAACACTGAATGCTTATGGAATTGTTGTTTCTGAAATTCGAATGGAATGTTGCTCAAAATGAATTATCTTTCCTTCGAATTTTATAAATCTCTCATCATCTCCATGGGGTTTCCATGGATACAATATATTTTTTGAAATTAAAAAATTACGATTAACCAACCTGCGTGGGTTCGCAGGTTTGAACCCCATTTGGAGATAGTTGTTTGCGAGGGCATTGCTGGACTCCTCGCCGCCGCCGGATAGTTCACGTAACCGCTGGTTGATTAAGGCTTCCTGTATCATCAATTTCATGCTTTCGACAACAAATAACTGGATAACTAATTTCATACCCGACCTAGACTAGTAACCGGATGAGAGGCCGTGGTTCGTCATATGATTAAGCCGTATTATCGGCTTTCCTCTCTCCTGGGATAAATATGTAAATCCTACCCCATCGTAAATGTGTTTGCTGAAGTTTGTTCATGCAGTTAGACAAAAACTGTTCACCATTCATATTATTATATTTAGCGATATCTCAGATTGAACAAAGACTTACTGCCACAGAGAAACTTCTTCAAATTAGATCAAAACGGAACACTACCCAAACAGCAAATCCGTCTCCAGGTAAATTTTTAAATAATTTTAAATCCAAAGCGTGATTATCAAAAATATGATGAATAACTCTCATGGCCGTAATTATAAAATAAAACGACAGACATTTCTGCATTCGAAGAAACCGATTATTGTTGGCAAGTGTTGGCCATGAGATATTCTTTTATGTAATTAAAACTATAAATAACATGAGCACTATATTGTGGACTTCGTTGCATATCTCAGCACAGACATGTGCTTTTCAAACAATGCTGTGATATCCTTTTGAAATAAACAGTCGTTAAATTTCAGAAAACAACTGCAACTTAAGGATTGGAAGTAGCTGTTATTTTGCTGTGATGCAAGATGAATGGGTTGTAAACTACGCCAAAGCAGTTGATATATGTAAGGAACGTAACGCAGATGTTGGTTCGATTCGAGATAAAGAATCTTACAATGCGATTATGAATTACTTAATAAAGAATATACCAAAGTCAAAGAATGCGATTCAAATATGGATAGGAAATCGATTTGATCCATTGGTTGGTATATTATGATTATTTGTGCTTTATGAAAAAGTAGATATCGATACTGGAGTGGGCTAAAGGTGTTTTGAGGCAAGAAAGGTTTGTTCAATAATTGCAAATTGATTGTTTGTATTTTGCGACAAACGAAGGCTCAATCTATGTAAACGGAGTTCAAAAATGGTGCACGGGGAATTTTAAACTAAAATGGAAGTATTATCAGACATATGTGAATATGAATGCAGTGTAACTGACAAAGAAAGTATGCCAGTCAGTTGAATTACACGGATCAAAGTGAAACTTTGATGTTATGGTGGATTTAAATTTGTTCCACAACAATCGAATTCAAGTATATGATATAAAAGTTTAGTGATATAGTAATGGTGCAGTGCAAGTTGTTGCCAAGCCGCCCTAGCGTATAAGCGTTGGGCTTTATTAACACAGGATATACCAATCATGAATCTTTTTATGAAATCTAGTCAAGAATGTTAGTAGATGGGATACGTATCAATGATGACCAAATGATATTCACATAATCATTTCTTTCATTCGTTTAATTTTAGACTTTTGACGTCATACCTAAAGGTTTCTTCATTAAATGGGTTCCAGGCAATCCAGTTACTGGAATTGTGAATAAACATCGCAAAAAAATTTACCTCGATGTTCGTTCCGACCCGAATGATCGTGACCAAGGAATGTTAAATGCGTTTTCAATCTGGAAGCGTCATGGAGTTATTTGTGAAATATAGATATACTAAACGTCTGTCATTTGTATTTTGTGCTACTGGATTTATCAGTGATAAAGTATAAATCATAGACTCCTAATTCAAATTTTCTACGATTAATATCAGTAGATAAGGCTGCAATGAATACTCACAAACGGCTAAATTAATTTACGTTCGATTAAAACTTGTTTCTAATATTATTCAAACTAAGAAGAATTCTCAATTCATCTGAATTTTTTATTTCTGCAAACAGTTTGTAACACATTTTCAGACTCATGCTCATATTTTGATTCGTAAAATATATAAATTTACCTGAAGTTTCGAGATTTAAGTATTATGTGTCTTTTAGGTATTTTATCACAAGTTAATGATTAATTAAGATTTCAACGAAATATATTTTTCATTCGTTTCGCACCACTGTTTATTAGAAAAATGTATAGATGTGAAATCTGAAGATTTGATTGTTGGTTTTATATTTTGTTTGATTTGTGAACATAACCATAGGTTCGCGAATTCGGAGAAAATTACACAAACTTGTTGACTTAAAATAAATTCAGCTTGTATACAATATCTGATGTGAAAAAAAAAGGTCGGGAAGTCTAAACATTTTTTGCTTTGTATTTGAAAGTCTGTAGAATCTTACATTCATTTGTAATAATCTTGGAATCCGAATTTAGGATATTGTGACCCAAAACTATTATTTATAAAATATTAGTGAACCATGTGTCACTGGGTAACTCTGGTCGGTGACCCTTATTGTTTTATTAAACTTCGACGTAGCTTAACGTCCGAAACCACAGGCGACTGAGTGATTAAAACGTGAGTGAACGCGCATAAATGTAATTAATAATAACATTTTGCTTGAAAATGTTTCGAATCTCGATAACTTTGTAATCAGCAGTTTATTTTATCGCCATCTTAAAAATACACATTCGTACATACTAAATAAGGTAAAAAGAGAAAAAATGCATTTCAGGGTGAAAGGGGACGCGATAAACCAGTATTGGCTATCGAGTAGCGACACCTACAAAAAGTCTAATTTTAGGTCATACAAAAGTAAAATGTCAAAGTGAAAAATCTAACATTTAATACTAAAGTCGACCGGCAAAATACAAATATCACCAGTGGCATAATATATATTTAAAGAGTTCCGGACTCACTAGTACCAAACGACTCCGAACGCCGACTGGTAGATAACCATGACAACTACAGCACATATATTTAGTGATATTGCATATTTTATGTTGATTTAATTCAGTGTCTGAGTTCATGACCTTTCATGCAGTTATTATCTTGCTCTGGCCTGCCCCTAGTGTATACAATGTATATTGTTTTCTGGTTCATGAAGTAAACACAGTACTCTGAAATATCGAGTTTATTCTGGATAATATTCTACACGCCGGTATAGAAATTAAGGGTAGAAATATTACAATATACAGTAATGTAACTGTAACCTTATTGGAAGACAGATTTACAAAAACAAGGTCATGGTTCATAAAATAGCAATGGAACGTAACCTTGGACACTAAAACGAATACCAAAACAAGTATAGAACGAGCCAAACGTCACTATTGAATATTCATGCTAAGCAAGAGTGTGAGTTGGGCATATTACTAGGTAATTAAGCAAAAAAGATAAAACAGCAGTTTGATACAGATTTTTGGGTACTCCCGAAGTATGTGAACCAAGATGGCGGACACCGAAACGTATTATGTGTACCAGGTTGGGGTTAAGCCATAATTTCAGGTACAAATACTACAGGAGTCGCTTAGCTAGTCCCCGAACTCGTAATAAAACCAAAATAAGGAAAATTGGAATAAAATTAGGGCCTAACCCTAACCTGGTACACATTCTACATTTCGGTGTCCGTCATCTTGGTTCACATACTTATCGAGGACTATATTCTAAAACTAACTTCAGTATATATGCCAAACAACAACAACGACATGTCTTCTTTCAATATAACTTTTTAACCGAATCTCAGTGCGGCCGAGATCGTCGTTTCGATCCCTATTCTGCGGAACACTCTGAAGAAGCTCGCGTAGTAGCAGTGTTCCGCGAAGCACAGTTTAAGAAACGCTCTAATAGACTAATTAGAGCAGAGTGGCCAAGGTTGTCGGCTCCGCGGGCCACATTATTATTTTGCATTGTTCGCAGGCCACAAAAGTGCCAAGAATTGGGAAACAGTGCAATACAAAACAAACACTTTTATTGTGCAAACATAGTTATCAGGCATATAGGCCGCGAGCCGAGGCCATTTAACTTTCAGTTTCGTAGCGCACATAAGGTAACTACCTGAAAATGATTTTAAAATGTTTCTCAGAAATTTAGTAACAAATATTGCCTTGTTCCCACTTCCAAAAGTTGCTCGTTTTACAGAAAAGACGATTTTACTACAATAAATATGTGTTACCATCTGTCCTATTTTCTCTGCTTTTCCAATATCATGGGCCAATGAACGCAGACTTCTGCATGACGTAACAATCAAATTGGTCAGCTGTAGGTGGATCCCCAGTGGTCGGATGAATATCAGATGTACTACTGCTCGCTTTTGCGTTGAGTAGCCTTTCCATAGTTTTTTTTTAAGTTATTATTAGTTCAGTTATTCTAAAGAGGTGTTGAAAAGTATAAGTAAGATATTAAACACTTGTATATCCTTACCATAAATAGCAATTTTAGTTGAGCACTAGCTCATAAGACGTTGTTAAATAGGTACGGTGCGGTAACTCCAAGGAAGGCTACACCTAGAATAATATGTCATAAACAACGATATTTTCTGGCTTGCATGAAATGTGTATGAATAATTTAATGACTCTTCTTGACTATTTAGCAGACTTATACTACTATATAGGCCACAGCATATTTGGAAATAGAAATTATTGGCTGTTTCTGTAATGCACGGTTGTGTGAAAGAGAAGAAAATAATCAATTTTACTAATGTCGGTTGGTCTAAATCTAAATTCATAGAGTCGACAAGAACCTGGGAAGCAATGATAAGTTATGCCGGAGTGGAAAGAAAGTAGCATTGGAAACGATTGAGAGGTGAGAAATCAAGTTGTAGACAGACAGTTGATGTTTTAAAATATACAGTATTCTATAGTCCATACTCATCAGACTGTGATATATCAAAATTTAGTGTAGATATAGTCTAGTAATGGTATGCAACACACCTCTGGACTATACCTCTGGACTGTAGTACATGCAATGTGCATATATATATACGCTCATTTAGTACACCAGATAAAATGCATTATGTATTCAAGGTATTAGTTAGTATTTAGTGGTATTTTTACACTCATGCTGTTCCAAATATGATTTTCTTCTTCATTTTAGGTACTGCACCACAAAAGAAAATGTTCCACCAATCCGACCTAAGGCAGGCTCTAATCCCTGCTGCTACCAGTGCTATAAAATGGATTAAACAAGAAGTCTTGAAGCGTAAAGGTACATGAGAATCATAATAGTTGCAAACAGCTTAGATGGGCTATTCATATTGATATACTTTAGCACTTTTCTGCAATTGGAACAGGCTTCATTGAGGTTTTCAATTCAATTTTTTCTCATCTATGAAGATATTTTGAGGTTAACGAGGCATTAATAAATAAATCTGAGTTATTTGTTTGTTCACTGTATAAAGAGGATATGAAGAATGTAAATGATACCAGGGCACGTCTATTTAACACTGGCAAATATAAGGATTATACTCTACCACCCAACAATGATTCACTGAAAAAGCATGTGTCCCTCATGTTATAGTTCTCCTTGTTGATGGCAACTATAATTATTATTATTGAGGCATCTTACTTCCCAACCATCCACACCAACAATCAGCTCATATATTCAAGTATTCACATTTACTTCTAACACAGCACAGCCTCAAATTTACGTGTTACTCCTAGAACAGCGAAAACGAAGACACCCTGCAAACAAGATATTCATGCGCCACAACATACATAAAGAAAATAGGGCACGCATGAAAAGTCATTAGAGCATAACAATAATACAATATTATACCTATTGTATGACACCTCAAATCAGTTCTTGAGTTGGCAAATTTAATTTTCTTGACTTTTCCGGTAATATCTAAGTGAGAAATAACTGATTTATTTGTGTTTTCGTGCTCACGATGTTTATTTGTGACTTCATTGCTTAAAAATAAATACGTTTGATAGCTTCTATAAAATGGATGTAGCTTTTTATGCTGTTTTTGTTGTAAACTGCTTGTGGTTATTACGTAAAATTTATTTGCTAATGTGAATCAGCGTTGTTGGTGTCGCTGCTTTCGAGGTCACTCGCGACTCCTGTCACACAATTAAAGTATTTTTTGTTGTTGGTTACATGTATGCCATATTTTTCGTAATCTACCTAATAAATTATGATTGACTGAGGAAGTCCAATTTTGGTCAGGCAAAACATTACAGGAATACTTTTGTGTTAGTGTGCTGTAGGGCTCTCTAATTGCATAGTTCTTATGTATGTGTTATAAACTTATGGTTATTGAATTTCCGGGAACCTCTTATATTCAATTTCGCATCAGGATTGTGGAACAAGCTGTAATGCGTTCGGTATGTTCATTTTCACACAAAACTGAAGAATTTATTTAGTTACAAGATGTGCGCTACGAAACTCATTTTCTGGGCGTTTTCAAGGCTTCGTCTCACGGTCCATATTCGTTGTAAGGATCTGCAAGTGTTTAATAACTTACTTATACATTTTTCAACAACGTCTTAGCATAACTCAACTAATAACAAGAGAGCTAGGCTCAAATATATGGACACGTAGAGTCACATAATTTTGATGACGACATAGCGAAAAAAAAAGTAATAGCCTTCTGGAGAAAATTTTTATCTTTAACCACTGAAAATTTCAAAGCACTTGGTCCAGTATTCGAAGAGAAAAGCGACTTTTTAAAAACGTGTCAAAGAACAACAACAACATAATATTGAAACGATCGTTATGTCCACTACGTGTCCAATAATTAAACAGGGCTATGGATAGGCTGCCCAACTCAACGCAAGGTCGAGCAGTAATAACTAATAGTCATCCGCTCGCTAACATGTGGCCCGCTGGCTTAGGTTTGGACCACCCTGAATTAGAGAATCGCACACTTTCCAATCGGGAAATTATATATAATGATATTATTGCTATTAAAGTAAATCATAACAAATTAGAAACTTATACATTCTCTAGAAAAAGCATACGATGTCTAGAAGAGTAAGTTTATGATTAAGAAAATAAAC